GGCGGCACAACAAAGTCATCTCGTGAAGTCATCTCGTGGCCCAACGAAGTACTGATGGGGTGGTCATAATAATCTGGCCACTCGGTGTATATGATTATCTAGATCTCCTCTATCTCCTGAGGAAGCGTTGGAGCGCGAAACGCATTGAGTTTTACTATTTCTGATAAGAGGAGGCATTTGTGCGCTGTATGAGTATAAGAACATATCACATTGATTATGTCTGTTATGGTTGTCTAGCCTCATACTCGAATTCTTGAATAGTTTATTTGGAGATCGTTTTTGTTTTTCTTTCTGAAATGTGCACATATTAATCATGTTTTTAAATATTTTTAATCTTTGTATAAGAATTTCTGTATCATCATGTTGTAATTTCTTGGTTCCGTCACTTGGTACCTAAAAAGCCCCACTTTTTCTTTCCTGCTCAATCCATTTATTGTAGCTTTCTGGCTTGGGGGCACAAAATAAATAGGAATACCTTGCATTTTTAGTGCAAGGTCTGCTTTAATTGGCAGCTCGGTCCGAGGTTTTAATAGCTGTGTTAGCTCTTCTAACTCACAGCTTAAAGTGACATTAAACCATTCGTTCCCCCTAATGCTGCTGTAAGGACTTACCCTAAGTGATGCATCTTGAGCTGATCATCATCTTCCTTCCAGTGGTGTTCAGCAGTCCCTCCAGCGTTGGTGGTGGTCTCTGATCAAGTGCAGACTGCTGTTTCTTCCTGTCCTACAGAGTCTGTTCGATGTGCATGCTCCCGGCTGCCTGCATTGACTTTTTCTGTAGATGTCCTCCTCTCCCCTCCCGTGATATGGACCATGCGTGCACCCGCATGGCCGCTGGAGAAGCGGATTCCTACAGCTGCGAGCCATTGGCGCAGACAGTTGGTTTTTACCTATTTGGTAACTTTTTTTACATGTTCTTGCATATATCTACTGCTTGCCAGCAGTAGCGCAAGCAGTAGATATATGTAGAGATAACAAGACTTTAATGTCACTTAAATGTATTAGTTCCCGATAGTTGTATTGTTATAGTGAGTGGAGTTTACACTTCCGGGATTCGGAAACTCCTTTTATCCAGTGGTGCGAGTACAGATCTTACTTTTCACCAAGATGCTGCATGACGATGTGCCTCTGTTTGTGGCCAGGGCTGGACAGCTTCAGGTGCATCTTTTCATTCCCGTCAGTTGCTCTCCCTGCTTTGTATTTTACCATTTTTGAGAGTGACTCATCTTAATTTTTGGATTAAACAATTTTAACATGCTACACAATATAATGTCTCCTTGCGCTGCTCTTTTTTAAGTTTACCAACAGTTGGAGCCTCCTCTATTATCTTGGGCTGGCTGCATGTGGCTTTTCATCACACTCACGTTACTAGATTCGGTACTTTTTTTTTAGATTTTTACTATTTTGTACATATTTATACTTAAAATGATTTCAAATTATTTGTTACCATGTTAGTACAATCATTGATTGAGGGACTATTTATTGCTTTCTGAGTGCCATGAGCAGTTTTTTTTTGTTTTTTTTACAAATTAAAGAATATGAGGCTAGCATTTTTTGGATGGCACCCAGGACCAAATGTTGACCCAGCTCTGATCGCAAAAAGGTTAGGATTCGCCCCACAGAATATTTTCTGTGATGCAAAGTTTCTTTCTTGGAACCAAGCTAAGTATCTTCCATGTGTGACGGTAGACCTTGCGGGAAGTGGACTTCCTAGCTTTTAGAATTATCGGAATCACCTTATCAGAAAGGTTTGAGTGCCTCAAGACCTGGGCTTTAACAGCCATACAGTTAAAGCCAGCAGCCATGACACAGTATGGTACAAATGCATAGCTCAGAATATTGATCGGGAGAGAGGATTCCTTCAACGTCCAAGTCCCCAGCATCAACAGCGTGTCAGGGACTGTTCCCAAGCCTCTCAGACTGCATCCTCCATTGTGACGATACAAGAAATGATTTCTCCAATTGCAGACATTCAAGCCAACTGGTTTGACAAATTATTTATCTAACGATGACAGGATGTGGCGTTGTAGGGGTAAACAGGACTGCCTCGAAGAAGGCTATCAGCCCTATCACCTGCATGCAGAAACGAAGAGTCAGTCGACTCCTGGACTGAAGAGTGCAAGTGTGGGAGAGGAGATTTTTACGTTTTTCATGTGGTAAAAAAACTGACTTGAGCTGGGTCTAAAAACAGAGCCAAACAGTGCAAAATTATGATGTTTTAGAACCCTAAGGAACCTTTAAGGTCTGAACTGTCTGGGCCATATTATTGGTCAGTTCTTGTGTTGACTGTTCCCCCAACAGGAGGTCAACCAGATATGCCACGGTGGGGATGCCCTGGGCGCGTAGCAAAGCAAGCAAGCAAGAAGGCTAGAACCTTGGTAATCAAACCAGGGGGAAGGAGAGGATGGGACTTTGTGGAAGACAGGCAGGATGGCAGGGCCATAGGCTGGAGGTGTCTGGGACCCAAAGCAAAGAAATGGAATCACAAACGGGCTTGCTGGAAGCAGGAGAGGTTCAAATGGCCAAAGGTGGCCAAGTCACTGCATGCAGCAGCAGGGGCTAAGGAGGTAAACCTGCATGTCTCTTGCAATAAGAAGCAGTGGTGGAAAGATGCCACCTTACACTAAATGATGGGAACAAGAGTACAGAGAACACATGCAGCACTCCAGGTAGCAACCAAGCACTTAGTCACTCAACGTTACAAGCCCATTCCATAGAAAAAACAAAATAGTAATAACGATGCGCAATGGTTCTAGTATATGAAGTAACTCCTGGTGCTCACCCCACACTACCTACTCATAAATGTCCAGTGGAGAGTACAGTCTCCACAGCTTTGCTCACCGATCGACAGCTGCATAAAGAGACCAAGTCAAGCAACTTGTAGATGACGTCTTGACGGGGGGAAAAAAATACAGCTGCTGATTTCTCCTGTATCTGAACTCATTCTAGTTTGCTTGTACACAAAGTCCAATCACTAGTGATATAATAGAACATTTTTAGCTTGACACGCAGTGTAGATTAGTTTTTAAGTGAACATTTAATAAACTGTCAAGATATAGGTTTGTGAACAAAGGATATAATTGTGCATTTACTCAAGTCTCACAAAGACAGAACTTTACTCTCAAACCCTAACGTTCAACATCTAGAATTCCGTCAGTGCTTTTATACAGGTCATGTTCACTGAAAATAGTACATATTTCCCAGCAGTTTTACTTCAAAGCACTTCAGAGCAGTTTCAGTTGTAAAGAGGAGACAAAGGGTTTCAGTTTAGGGTTTTAATACAGGAGCCACCCAACAGCTGTACGACGCTGTTAAATTCTTATAGAAACAGTGTGGCACCTCCCTTCAGTAACAAATGGCCAAGAACCGGGCATGTATACAGCCAACTAATTAAACAGATCACAAAATACAAGAAAACCTGTACTATAGTATACTACTAGTTTATTGCCAACGTCACTACAACAGAGTATTAAAATGTGGTTACTTGGAACAAAACTGAAGCAGCCTTAAATTCACACTATTAGATTCTTACTATACTTAGATTCACACTATTCCATATGCTACCCTGTTTCCCCAAAAATAAGACCTAGTACTATTTTTGGGAATTGCTAAAATATAAGACCTACCCCGAAAATAAGACCTAGTTGTGACCATTCCCAGGGCCGGTGGTGGCATAAGGGGGAAAGAGCCGCGGGAGAGGCAGGAGAGAATCAGCGGTGCTAGAATCCTGCCGGGAATGTGTATAGCCACTACCGTCTGTTTCATACAAGTGTTCGGCCGGCTCTATAGCCAGCTGATCGCTTGTATATCCCTGTAGTGTGTGTGGCACGAACGTCGCAGTGAGAGCAATAATTCTAGGCCCATCAATCACTGAGAACACTAAACTGATGAGTGGTAAAAGCTTTTAAAGCGTCGCCTATGGCCAATTTTAGGCATGGTAGCTTTTTGTGATTTTGTGGGCGCGCACAATTTTTAAGCTTGACATGTCTGGTTTCTATTTACCCGACATGACCCCGTCTTTTATATTTTACCAAAAACTTCTTCAACATTTTCAGTCCTTTTTTCATTATATAGTAAAACATTTAAATCCCAGCGGCGATTAAATACCACCAAAAGCTCTATCTGTCCCCAAAAATGGTATACAATTCATTTCAGTACAGCGTTGCATGACTGAATAAACGTCAAAGTCCTGCAGCGCTGAATACTGAACAATGGCCCCGTCAGCATGTGGTTAACTTGCCATTCCAGAGATGCAACAGGAGGTGAGGAAAAAAAAAACAGACTTGACTGCTGATGCTGAAACAGGTGTCCCCACTGGAAGATTTCCTCTTCTGGTGACAACAGTACATTTCGGGTAACCCATCAAATCCTGTCTCGGTCACAACTTTCACCAAGACAAAAGAGGGTGACAAGGCTTCGAATCTCATTTAAACCAAAACTAAAAAAAGGTTTTGGCTGCGTGATATGTACCTTCAATAACTGAACCCTAATTCATAATTCTAATACCTACTATCCAATGTTTGTGTCTCTACTGGCTGCTATGGCTTCTAGAGGTGTGGCAGGGAAAAGGGTTAAATGTGCAAGCAAAGCACCAAGTGGAAGTTAACATAAGAATTTATATGCAATACATCATTGAGCTAACATTCTCTGTTAGAGTCCTATTTATTTTTTCACCTGCATAAAATAAATAGGACTCTAACAGATAAATGTTAGCTCAATTATGTATGACAGAAAAATTCGAAAGTTAAACAGCTCTTTTTACTAAATAAAAGGGTACAAAAACAAAACTAAAATGCTATGTGCACTACTAAATACATTTTATGAAGTACACAGTAGGAAATGTACTATAACTCAAAACCAGATGTGAAGTTTCCACAGCAACTGAGCCATGTAATTTTCTGTGACAATATGTACCACAAAAGTTGATGGATTTAGAACATGTAACATGCCAAACTTTCAGTATTAAGCAAAATGACTACAATGAAAGTAATATTAGAATACCTGATCGTACTCCGATGCACCAGGGTAGAGTGGCCATCCAAGGAACAGCTCTGCTATGACACAACCCAAGGACCACATATCTATTGCTTCACAAAACGGCAAACCAAGAATAATTTCAGGTGCCCTGAAAAAAAAAAAAAGCACAGATTTTAAATATTTATTAAGCTAGATTAAAGAACAGAGACCACTCACTGATTGCAAGATAAGATTTTGTAACTTTATTACACTAGAGAGTCAGACTATGGAAGATAAAATGGGTGTGTGTGTTATAAAAAAGGTCTCAGCTTTTTAAAACAGTGGTTCTCAACCTTTCTAGGGCCGGGACCCCTTGGTAACATTTGCCAAGTTGTGGTGACCCCCAACGGTAAAATTTAGGGATGACACGGCTGCTGCAGCGACATCTGGCGGCGTGGCGGGAGAACTGACACTGCTGCGCTAGGAGAGGGATGAGGAGGACTCTCACCTTATTGTTTATTTTTTATAATTTTCTTATTTTTTTAATAATTTGTTTCTTATTTCTTTTTAATCACTTTTTTATTTTTTTAATTCTTTTATTTTTATTTCTTTAATAATTTTTAAAAAGGAAAAAAAAATAACTTTCTCCTGGAAAGGTTTAGTCTGCTCGATGAAAGTTTTTTTTTCTTTTCTGACTGAAAAAAAAAAAGAGCAGAGAAAGCGCTTCTCTCCTGGGTGGCCGGAAGCCGCTAGGCGACCCCTGGCAAATCGTCATTCGACCCCCGAAGGGGTACCGACCCCCAGGTTGAGAACCACTGTTTTAAATCAAACACAATATGAAAAGGTAAGTAACAAGCTAGTCTGCTCTTATATAATAACGCATAGTTTACATTGTATAGTGTATGGTTCCCAAGAGCACAAACATTAACTGATAAAGGTTTAAGCAGTTTCATTGTGAGAGGCCTAGACAGGCTAAGCAGCCCGACATCCTATTCACCATGCTTCAAAAAGATTTGTTGCTAGCCGCAGATCACTCAGCTCAAGGGAGCGGTGACTGTAAGACTGCCAGTTTGTCCAGTGCTCATTGGAGGGACAGACGGGGAGGGGGCGGGCCCAGCTGGCTCTGGCTCTAGAGAGGAGTCAGCTCTGTCAGTAAGCAGGATGAAATCCAACAATATTGTTACAATCTTTCCTGGCTGCAGAACTGCTCTGTGCTGTCAGCATACAGCAGGCAGTAGCGTGTTATGTGGTTACTAATGTCCTCCTTTGACCCAAAAGAGAACAAATGCTAAAAAAAGATTTAGCTTTGGTTCTCTTTTAAGTTTGCCTGTAATCTTTTCCAGTCTGATCAATCTTAACAAGCATTCTTCTGAGGTACTCTGAAATCTCTTTTGATCAAACCATTCTGCACTGAAGAGCAGGCCACCAAAATTGGGACTTTTTTATTTAAATGTACCAAGGTAAAACCCACAAATGAAGAGACTAGAAAAATGTGTATGTTTTATTAAATGTCCAGCCAAAACCTCTCACTTAAAGTGGACCTTTACCCCCTTTGACTAAAAATCACATCAGCATATAGCTCTGTATGCTGATATGAACTCATCTTACATTCATTACTTAACCCTTTCGCTGCCACCGCCGTAAGGCATACGGCGGAACAAAAGTGTTCCCGGCTGGCCAGCTCAGTATGCCTTACGTCGGTGGCATTTACAGTTCTGCTATTAGCTCATGGTTGATTTAGCGACCATAAGCTTATAGCAGAACTGTTCCCCAGACTGTCCCCTTCAAAATAATAGCTGTCATCAGCGGCTCACAAGCCGCTGATGACCGCTATTACCGAAAATACCGGGCGCCCCCCCCCCCCCCCG